ACTGTGCCGCCTGATGCTGCTGCCACTGGTATGAGTTGCTCCCTCTGACTTCACAACAACGTATCCATCCATGTGATGGCCATCTGTTGGGGATGCTTTGATTGGGAGTTCCTGCATGGCAGGGGGGTTGGACTGGATGGCCCTTGTGGTCTCTTCCAACTCTATGATTCTATGTGATTAACTCTGTGTGCCTCATTTTCAACCACAAAGAGAGCCACTCACAGTGGCAGTGGTGGCACCAGGTGCTACACTGGGATACATGTGTAGGCAGCCACCCAGCCACACTCCAGAATGCACAGGTAACGGGGAATTCAGATCGGCTCCAGGGCCAGAATACTCCAGATGCAGCCTGGATTATTCTGGCCAGTGTAGACCTGCCCATAGATGTAGTAATGCAAATTTTTATTTATTTTGATCCCGTATACAAGAATAATAAAAAAAAAACCCAAAGGAACAACAACAACTACTGAAGACACAGGTAAAAAGGCTAGAGAATTTTGGTCTTTAATATGTACAACGATGAGAGAAATATTGCAAATCCATATTCCCTTCAAACCAGAATTATTCTTGTTGAATATCTTGGATGAAATAGAAACTAGGTTAAACCATGATAAGATAAGTTTGACTTTATACATGATTTCGGCCGCTAGGACTCTTTATGCACAATGTTGGAAATTGGAGCAAATTCCTTCATTAAATAATTGGAAGGTAAAAGTTGCAGAACTGGCCACAATGGACTGTTTATCCATGTATCTAGAAGGAAAATCACAACAAAGATACAACAAGAAATGGGAACGGACAAGAAAAAAGTTAGAAATTGATTAAGTTTAAACAAAACACTAAGATTTATGTTGTAAAAGTAAAACATTAGAGACCTGGTTTAAATAACACGGTTGTGTTGGTTCTGGCTTCTTTTTGGATTTTTTCTCTCTCTTTTTCTTGGACAATCATACAACTATGGAAAACTTTGTATATATGTATAAGAGATATCTTTATAATAAGCTGGAAATCTTGATTTTTGTACTACATTTATGGAATTTCAAATATATGAATAATAATAAATAATAATAATTAAAAAAAATAAAAAAAAACTACTGAAGACACAGAGTCTCCACAAGTCAGAAACAACTTGAAGGCACACAACAAATGAGGTTACAAGAGATTTTTCATATTTTTGGACATATTTTTTCTCATTTTAGGACTCTCCCCCCCCAAAAAAAATAATAATAAAAATTGGCTGAAATCCTACACCATCATAGTTATAATTGATGATGCCCCACCAACCTATCCTTGCAGCCTGACAGCATCCAAAGTGTTTTTGAGGTGCTGGAGACTGGAGGTGCTGGGAAGTTATGTCCACAGTGCTCTCTAGGTTTTGTGGTGATTTGCGAACAGGCAGCCGGGAAACTCTTTGACGTCCTTCCACAACTGCTTGTCCTTGCAAATAGCAGCACATTTTGGACATAATTTCCCACCACTCCAATCTCCAGCATCACAGAAACATTTCAATTGAGATGCTGCTAGGCTGTGAAGGAAGGGTTTGGGTGTCAGGCTTGGTTTTTCATGGCTGTAAGCATGAATTACCAGCAGTTAGGATAATAA